CCCACAACACTTCAACAGCACAGGGAACCTTCCACTAGTGCACATCATGGCCTAGTCAGACTTTGGGACAATTAATGCTGCCATGGGCTTTATTTTAGTGGGAGAGCACAATCCTGAACGTGTTCCCTAGACAAAGGCCACACAATGTTTCTAAACTGGCTTTGGAACACACCAAACCTCACCGACCAGGCCTCTCCTTGAATCTGTCCAGGCCCTCCACCCGCCTGGCACTGAAACAGCCTTTCAGACCACTTGGGACCCCCATGTATCAACAAAACACTGTTCGGGTATGAAATCTTTCCTCTGTGAGGCAGAAAATAACTCTCTGAGCAAAATGTTTTGGTAAAGCTGCCATTTTACTTCATGTTAAGATTTCTCAGGTTTTCAATTTTAAGAGTCATTTGATGTGACTTAGCTAGGACTACTTGGAATAAAGTAAGAGTTATGTTTTAAGACATAATGTTCTTGTTGAATTTGATACCCTCAAATAATCCAGTCTTACTGTGCCAGAGTTATATTCTAAAATACTTAACAGAAATGCCAGTCTTTTCTTTCCATTCATTAGCAGCATATTATAAATGGATTAGCTCTCCATTAAATACTTAGGGCATATTATAATTTTCCTCTTTTTCACAGTGTCTCATATTTGAATGTCATTTGTTTCCTACAAAATCATCCTCTTCCCTTAGGTGTTTACTGCTGAAAATCACTCAGCACGTAAGCTACCTTTTAAAAGGTTCGGCAAAATGATAACATCTATGTATGGATGTATACACACATATATACGTATGCAGAGAGAATAAATGTGAATATTAACAAGGGCTTTGAAGACAATAAAATTAGGTTAGGAAGATATGGAACTTTTTAAAAATCTAAAATGAACAAGTTTTTTTTAATACCATCAACTGCCCTGTGCACTACGCGTATACCCTTATAAATCTCTAACAAAATTACTTTTGCATCTTCTAAAAACAGCTTTGAATGGTGGGGGAAATAAATAAACCACGTGCTAAACAGAATGCCTGTAGAATGAGTCAAATACTTATGACATACCTTGGACTCCCTGGGTTATGAAGTTCATCAGTCCCACAGCTGGTCTCACTGAGACCAGGGCAGGAGTTGTGCACGGCATAGACTGACATGCTGGGATGTTCAATGAGAAGATTTTCCATAGGACTGGTTTCCACCTTAATAGTGGTTAATCCACCCGCAGTGAAACACGGGGGAGGAGTGATAAACCAGCTCTCCTCCATCGGACAGGATTCAAACTGGAGGAAGCAGGAATCACTTGTATCAGCCAAGCACTCAAGAGATGCAGGTAAACAGGAGAAGACTGAAGGATGCTTGGTAGGTGAATCTTCAATAATGTCCTCTTCCTCTTCTTCTGCTGCTGACAAACCAGTGCAAGTGTCTTAAAAACGAGAGACACTGCTATTAGCTGATGCCCACATTCCTTCATTTAGGTCAGAAAAGAACATTTATATTCACCCATAATGAATATAAAATAATTTCTGAGCACTGTGTGTACATGTGTGATGTATCACTGTATGGGATGGATTATTCTGGCTTTGTGAGAAGGTTTTCAGACTGTTTCTGTTCTACTGAGTAAACATATAACAAGCCATATGTTACTGCTTGTCTAGCCTGATGGTTTTCTATTGAAGTGCCTCAATCTGATCAGGATGTAAGAGTTGCAAAACTGGCAGGTCTGACGTCAGTCAATTTCATGAGCTGATCACCTGGCATGGGCCATTTCCTGCAATTTTTAAATACAAATTCTTGTTTATTTACTTTTAAGGCTGAAAAACCTTTAAAGTTACTGATTTACTTGTTTAAATACTGAGATGTGAGTGTTTGCACTTTTGCTGTGATGATCAATGGTGGAGGATACCTTACCTATGAAATCAACAAGAATCCATTCATCATCTTCTTTCTCACTAAATTCTGGTTCTTGGTTAGAAGAAGTGTTGCTTTCACCTACAAACATTTTATTCAATCTCTGGAACATTTTTAAGGCAAGATTGAGACTTTGGCTGGATATTTTTACAGCTGAGATTCAAAGCCCCCTGTCTTCAGTCAGCCTGACGGCACTGACAGGAGAGTAAAGTGCACACGGTGCTTATTCAACTTGGGCGCGAAGAACAGTCATTATCCCTAAAATAAAACAGGAAAATAAGGTTATTTCAAACCAGCGTGTCTTTACATAATGTGTGTGTGGTTTTGAAAGTGCACACACATACATGTGCACCCTCTGAAGAAAGCACATGCCTTACTTAGCCTTCTGTCACAGCTCGTCCTTTCCCGCAGGAGCCAAGTGCAGGAACTGCAATATCTGGTATTTACAAAGCATGAATGACTACTGAAACACAACTTGTACATATCTCAAAATGTGAAACAAAAAGAAGGAGTTGGCATAGATGCAGAGAACAGGCTGATGGTTGCCAGAGGGGAGGGGGACTACAGGACCGGCTAACAAAGGTGAGGGGCTTAAGAAGTACAAATTGGCAGCTACAAAACAGTCACAGAGATACAAAGTACAGCATAGGGAATACAGTCAATAATACTGTAATAGCTGTGTGGTACCGGGTGGGTATTTGAAATATCTGGAGGACCACTTTGTAAAGTATGACTATCTAACCACTACACTGTACACCTGAAACGTGTATTTAATATTGAGTGTCAACTGTATTTGAAAAATAAAATGTGAAAACTCCAAATGTGGGGTCAGTGATTGAAGAATTTACTTTCACAACTCAGTTCAGACATAACCCTGGCCTGGAGAGTACCCATGGCCCCTCCCACTCAGACCCGCCCTGGTACAGAAAAGCTCCTTGAGGGCAGGGACCATACCTTTCACTTTAGTTGCCTTAGCACTTAGTGTAGCATCAAATCCAAAATAGAAATTCAGCTGTTTCAACTATTAACACCAAAGCATGACAAGCCATATGAATTAGAAACGTTTTTAAAAACGAGTTTACTTATTTATTTAGAGAGAGGGGAGGAAGGGAGTAAGAGAGGAAAACATTGTTGTAGAAAGAAACATCACCTGGTTGCCTCCTGCATACCCCGAACTGGGGACCTGCCCACAACCCAGGCATGTGCCCTAACCAGGAATTGAACCAGCAATTTTTTGCTTGGCAGGCCAATGCTCAATCCACAAAGCCACACCAGAGAGGAGAGGAACTATTTCTTTTAAATAAAATTATAATTCATTCTAGAATTTACATTTTAAAAAAGATTCAGCATTGTGAATAACAACATTATTGGAGAATTGCAAAAGAAAAGGAGGAAGGAGTTGGTTCTCTTTCACATCTGTACTTTTACAATAAGGGATAAATTTGAATAAAATTTATAAATTTAAGTAATTTCAGACTGCAGTACTGCTTTTTTGTAAGTAGAGGAGCAAAAGCTAGATATTAACAGTTGTTCTATGTAACAGTCAACTGCCAGAAGCTGCCAAATGAACCCTGCAATAGTACCCAGTGACTATCCTATGCTAGGCATTTACCTTTCTCTGGCTCATTTTCTCTTGTGCTCTGCATCTCTTGTATGTAACTACAAGCATATCTAATTACTTAAAAAATCTGTAAGGACAGCAGCATACTTTGACCTTCAAAACAGTTCCTACAGGTGGCATGGGAAAACATACACTGTAGAAATCTAAGGACAGCAACCAGAACTGGAACCAGCTGTTCACTGTGCAGTGGCAAGCCCCACTGCTTCTGCCCTCTGAGAGTTACGAAGTTACCCTAGTTCACCTGGCAGTACTTTCACCTCACGGAGTTCTGGTGAGTTCAAAATGAGGGACTACCCTCGTCTGATCTTGTTCCAGAGTTCCAGATTTATATATTCGTATCTTCTTGGTAACCTGATGGGCATGGCATATCAAGCCTAACCCATATCAAAGAGAACTTAATTCCTCACCCCACCCCACCCCCCACACTATGTAAGTTTGTATTTTCCTTTATCCCTTCTCAGTATGGAGCAGCAGCAGCAGCAGCAGCACCCAGGAGTTATTCAGGCCCCAAACCTAGCAGTTACCCTTGGCTTCTAAGCCCTGCCATGCTCCCTCCTTCCTACCCCACCCCTCCTCCAAACTACCAGCAAGTTCTCCTGACTCTAGCTGCTTGGGTGGCTTGATTCCACCTACTTCCCTCTACCACCCTCATTCTAGTTGAAGCCAACCTTCCTGGTGTCTCTCCAGATTCCGCCAGTCACCACCTCCTAGATGGTCTCCTGGACCCTATACTTGTAAAATGAGATAAGGTAGGCAACCTATTTGGCACAAAGTTCTCAGTCAGTGTCAAATATCATTCTACAAATATTTATCAAGCACCTATTACGCATCAGGTGTAGTGCTAAGTGCAGGGGAAAAGGCAGTAAAATAAAGCCCTCCCGTGGCCAGCTAACAACCTACGTGCTGTGTGCCCTGGGAGAACTACTGGGTGGCCCTCAGACCTTTGCAGGTGGAGGTCAGGGAACTTAAATGATTTTAATCTTGGGTGGTTGGGAAGATCAAGAATGAAGGGGCAGAAGGAACACCGTGGAAACCTGAAATCAGGAATGAAGCACCTACAATACGACTCCAGACTCAGATGGACAGTTGTGAGGGCAGGCTGGGGCAGAAGTTAAGGGGAGGGACCAGTCAAGGATGACCCAGGCTTGTGGCTTGGCCAACTGGGAAAATGGTGAGACTATGTAATGGAACAGGAGTACAGCAGGAGGTGCAGTTTGGGCATTTTAGAGAGGCTGAATTTGGGATATCTGCAAGTCATGCACCTGGAGATGTCTAGTAGGTGGTTGAATATAGGGCTGTGGAGTTCAAGGGCACGGTCTCAGCTCAGGGGGCAGACTTGGAAGTTGTCAACACAAAGGGGGTAACAGAAACCATAACATTGGATGAGACCATCCAGGGAGGATGAAAAGTGCCTCACTAAACAACACTTCTTTTTCTGATGAGCATACGGCGTCCCCCATAACTTCAGACTTTGTTTTAAAGAATCAGGAACAATCTGGGTGTTGCAAGTCCTGGTTATGCAGAAATGCTAATTGCAAGTCATGTGAACCATCATCATATTCCAATCTGTGTTCCAAAAGGAGGAATAGGGAAGGATTATCCGACCTGATGATGTAACTCCAGACTTTTGACATTTCACTTTCAAAACAGCCATCTTCAGCTGTAAATGTAGTTAGAATCTGTAGCTGGTTAGATTCCTGGTTCAATTCTTTATGTAAAAATTGGATTAAGACAATTGTTTGGCATCCTACTACAACTGTGTAGTACTACCAATGTGTCTTCATACCAATGACATTTGAATACTTTTGTGGTCACAATCAGCCATTAAATATTGAAGGTGGGTAAACAGAATGTGTCACTTGCATAACAGGTCTTCCTGTAACATGGCCAAATCATGAAGGCTGGAGCTCTAACACAGGAATTCAAATTCCGCTCTATGTCCCACATAAGAGAAGTCAGAAGAGAGGTGGGCTATGTAATTTGCTTAACCTACTGTGGTATGACACATATCCCAAAAGAAGAACTATCACAGGGTTTGATATAAAGGTTTTGAGTATATAAACTAGAAGGGAAAGAAAATATTTTCAAAATCTTTTCCTCATTTCTCTTAAACTGTGGAGGCAGATATTGGCCCCAAGTATATTTCTGTGTCTGCTGAACCAGTTGAGAGACTAATCCCAGTTCCCAGCACTGGGTTGGGTGCTGGCTCTGCACCAGATAGGAAGCAGGCAGTGGGGGCCAGGGGAGGGAGAGAACAAGCCCCACAGGGAGACCCTTGCTCCTCCTAAATGAGCATCTTGTTCCCTAACTGTGATGTCACATGGGGTCCAGGCCAGATCAGTGGCAGCTACAAGGCAGAGAACATTAGGCTGGGCACCACCTACAAGGCTGGGACCACTGTGGCTGGGCAGCTGTGGGTTTCCAACTGCAGAGGGCCCCCTCTGGCTACAGCTCCATGTGAGGACAGCTAGCTTATCCTGGCGCGGGCACAACTACATCACAGGAAAGGTGTTTCCAGTGGGGCTTTCCACCTGGCAGCACAAGTCAATCTTCTGGCTTCCTGTAGTCAAAGGCTGTCTACAGGTGCTCCAAGCCTCCTGCAAGGGCAACCAGCCTTGGGTGCGGTGTTCAGGAGCCCAGCCAGTCAAGAGAAGAACTCATCATCTTTCCAAGTCACTGTTGGTATTTATGTAACACACCCGTTGAAGCTCAGTAGGAAGGATACAGAATGGAGTCTTGCCTATCCTGCCAATGACCCAGAGACTGTCCCAACCCAGTCACTGCTACTCTTGACCTTGGCTCCTACTGAGGAACAGAGGCTCTCCACCAGGCTGGTTCTATGTGGGGCTAAAGGGCAAGGCAAAATAGATTTCACTCCTTCCTCCATGTCACTGACTTTTTGATACTCGTAACTGGAGGGCAATGATAAAACTAAAGTGAAAATTCCTAAGAGGACAAACTTACAAACACAGCTAGAATTGAGTGTAGAGGTAGAGGCAAAGAAGCCTAGGTGTGGTAGTGCTGCCTTTGTCTGGGGCGCCTGCAAGCTTTCAGCATTAAACCTCAGCCGAGCAGTCTCACCCCAGTGGAGAAAAGAAACCAACTGTCTGTCTGCACCCCAGCATTTCAAGAAGGCAGCTTTGTCCCCGTAATCCTGGCTCCAAATACCTCCCTTTAAAAAATGTCTTTTTCATTATAAAATGAATGAAATCACATTATAAAAAGCTTAGAAAATAGGTATTACTCCATGTTCTGTTACAGCCACTGTTAGTATATTGTACATTTTCCTCTAGCTTTTTCTACAATGCAGTCTTTTTAATCATTGGTTGTAGTCTAGTGAATGCACAGTTTTGTACCCTGCTTTGTTACTTAACATTTCATCATCAACGTTTTGCATATTATATTGCATGAGTAGAAATGCTCTGTGAGCAGAGAAAGGTGGCTGAGTGGATACGTATGGGGAGGAGCATTCGACATAGTTTGAGAACTTAGAAAAGGAGTTAGTTGCTGGTCTGGAAGAGCTTGTTAGCTTCTCATTTTTGGGACAGCACCAACCTAGAGGGAGTATGGCCCTGGAATTAGCCAGCTGTGTTTGAAATCTTGGCTCTGCTACTTGCATCTTGTTTGAACTTAGGATATTTAGTCACTTCTTGGTGCCTCAGTTTTCTTACCCTTAAGCATTGGGGATGGTGGTGTCAACATGAGTATTAAGTGTGTATCACTTAATAGCACACAGCACATAGCAGGTAAATATTAACCACAAGTTCATTCCAAAGCAATTGTTGATTGACTATGAGCAAGTAATTTAGCATCTTTGGGCCTGAGTGTCTTTACTTGCAAAAATGTTTATATAATAATTAGAGCTACAATTTACTGAATGCTTATTTTATGAGACAGGGCCCTGAGGTACTTATCTGTCCCATTGTACTAATAAGGAAACTGAGGCTCAGATATTAAGTAATTTGCTCAAAAATGACACAGCCACTCAGGGGTGGAGCTGGCATTACAGCCTCAGTCTGTCCGGCTCCAAGCACATTGCTTTTCCCTGCACATGATCTCTCAGGCTCCCTCCAGCCTCGACTGTGGCTCTGTGAACCTCAGAGAACAGCACTGTTTCAGTTGGTGCTGGCTGCCAGTAGGCGGCTCCAAAAACAACATTAAAAAATAAAAATCCCACAACTTTGATGATCTAACTTCATGTACACTTGTGGCTTCTTGACAGTTTCGAAATACCAGGTGGCTCAACAAACCACATCATCGTTGAAAAGCAGCCTCAACATTATCTCTTTATATCCTGCCTCCCTCACTTGTTTAGGAAAAAAAACAAAACAAAACATGCTGATTTGAGGAATTTAAAATCTATTTTAAACTGCAGAAAAACCAAGCAAGAAAGTAGTCTGCCTGTTCCCCTTTGACCTTTATTCAACTAGCTCCAGGAGAGTTACTCTCCCAGGGACCCACGGGTATCAGCCCTGAGGCTGAATGACAGTGGACAAAGACAGAAATAGGTGGTAATTCATAGCCTGTTAACCTTGAATTTTGAGAGTAGGGCCATTCCCAAGAGAAACATAAGAGAGCACTCACAGAAAAGAACAAAAGATAAGAGGAAAAAAACAAGAGACCTTGGTCACAGAAATTTGTAAGACCCTGGTTCCAGGCAGGGGCCTTTGAAAATTAGGCTGCCAGTTCAGAACTAACAGTGTCTGAGACTTAAAACCAAAAGCTTCCCAAGTGCTTTTCACATCTGCAATGAAAAATGTATTTCAATTACCAGGCAAGTGATGTCAGGATCTTGGAGCACCTCATAACTTCTGTTCAATGACTCCCACGGGTGACTCCCCTCCCCCCTTTCCTAAAACTACTTTGTATTTAGAAAACGTTTACTTTTAGCAATGTATGCCCAAGTCCTTGTAAGTTACAGGTGGAAACAGGCTCTTCCTTAATCTGCTCGATTCGGAATTAACAGAGGATAATAAGCAGACATAATTGGGAAATACGATAAGAACAGAAACTGTCACAAAGCATCTCTGTCTTTAAAAGAGAAAACACCCTGTCCTTTTAATTGGCTGTGTGGCCTTGTCTAAACGACTCAATCTCTCTGAACCTCGGGTTTCCTATTCACGAAATAATACGGTAAAGCACGCATTATACTATATGGCATGTCATAAGCCCTCAGCGTGGATTACTTGTAAGATGATAAGGATTTCTAAATTATGGGCAAGTAAACTGAGTGTGCTCCACAGGTGCGACCTCAAAGAGTGATGTGTAAGATCCAGCGCGTAGGCTGCGGTCGCCGGGTTCCGGGAGCGGAGGACCCACGGTGCCACCGAGCGTGACCCAGGGCCTGGTGTCTGGCGGAGGAGGCGCAGGGCTCCGGGCCGCGGCCCCCGAGGGATGAGTCGCGGCGCGCAGTCCGGGCCGACAACCGGGTGCACGAGCAGGACGGAGCGGAGGGCAGTGAGGAGGCGGAGGAGGTCCCGCCGCAGCCAAGAGAACGGGCACGCTCGGGAAAGGAGGCAGAAACCAAACACCCAACGGCCGCCCAGCGCCAGGGCTCGGCCCGGTCCAGGTCCGCGAGGCCGCCTTAGCCTGGACCCGGGGCCGCGAGGCCCGCCGAAAGCGTGGGCGGCCCGGGGCGGCGCCCGGAGGAAGCCGGAGGCCGGGGAGCTCCGGGGTGGCGGCTCGCGGGCCGGCCCGAGGGCACTGCGCGCGGGTCTGGGCTGCGCCGCCCGGACCAGCGGCCCCGGCCCCGCCCGCACTTACGTGGGCCTGACCTGCAGCAGCGCGGACGGCGGCGAAGCCACAGCGCCTCGCTCCGCGGGGGCGGGCGGGCGCGCGGTGCTGAGGTAGCTGCGGGTCCCGGGACGGCGGGCGCGGGGCCGGGCCGGCCCTCCAGTCGCTGCGCCGCTGGCCGCTGGCCGCCGCCGGCCCCTCCGGCTCCTTTTGTTGTTGTGCGGCTCTCGCAACAGCTGATCCGCCGCCCCGCCCGCCGCGGGCCCCGCCCCGGGGCCGCGCCAGCCCGGGGCCCACCAATGGGGAGCGCCGCGGCCCCGGGGCCACCCTGCGAGAGGTTGTCACTAACGCACGTGACCTGGCGCCGAGCCGGGCAACACTCTCAAGTTAGAAACAAGCCCGGGCAACAAAAGCCGGGCGCCGGGCGCGGGAGAAGACCGTAGGGGCGAGCGGAAGGGAGGGAGAGTGGGGGTTTGGCCGGGCTGGCTCTGGGGCGACTGGGGGACAGTAGAGGAGGGTCCGGGGCACACGAACGGGAACCTGCAGGAGTGTGAGAAAGAACGCGAAGGGCGAAAGGAAGATCCCAGACCCCTGTTATTCCTTTGGCTAAGAGTTTGTGGCACAAAGGGACTCAAAACATTTTTTAACTTTTTTTTCTTTTACTGCGAGAGGAAGAGTGTGGACATTGAGAGTTATAGAACCTAAAGACCCCAAGAGGCCCCTTCTAGGTCAATGTAGGGTAAAACCACAGACAGAACTGTCCGGCAGGCTCACTTCCTGGCCTTCTTGACTGGAATGGAAAGTCTGGGCCCCAGATATGGGAAATGCAAGGTTACCCAACCTCCTTTTAAAGGTAGAGAGCCAGGCCCCACCTTGCTG